GCGACGGCCCGAGCTCGGTCCGGGGCGCGGTGTGCGGTGCGCGCAGGCCCGCGCGTGGGGCTCTGGGTACGGTTTGCGGTCGCGGCGCTCGTGGTCCCTAGATTTAGGACGCGTTCCTACGAGACGGGTTAAAGTGCACAAGTTGTAGCACTTTCGGTGCGACCTAACGGCTACTTGGGGATGGGTAATAATGTTACGCTCGGGGTACTTATAAGTATATATATTTTCTATATAGAATATTTACAGTGATGGGCTGCCCCGTCACAATATAAATTGGAATTGCGCCACGTAGTTGTAATATAAAGTCACCAAGCCACCAAGTGTAACGATTCATTTAAGTGTGAGATTATCCAAGTTTGTATTTTCAAAAACAATGTCTGTGTATTTTTAACAAAGATAACAAATTATAACAAGATAACAAGCAAAATGTTACATGTGAATCCTGCAAATGTTATTAATATGTTAATTGTGTCATTCCAAATTGTAAATATTCCACAAACATCTGTAAATGATAAAGAAATTGAATTACATGATACTATAAAGGATATTATACAAAATGCAATGGATGACTTATTATTTGCTATGGAGTCCGACACTACATTAAAATTCGAGAATTATTGGAATGCAAATATATGTGATGCAGAATTTGTTGGAGCAGACGAAGTAAAAGAACTTGAAGAAAGTGATGAACATGAGGAAGAAGATACTTGTACACCAGAAGGAGAAATTGTAAATAATGACTATAAAAGAAAAGCTGTTGAGTTCTGGAAAAGTGGAAAAAAAGGCATTACACTTTATCAACAGTACAACATCGTTGTAAAAAGGTAAAGTCCTTGTCGCAATTGTATAAATGGGACCTCTCTTTACAAAAAGGTGGTACTCATAGACAAAAACTATTAGATATTTCTCAATATGTCTTGGAAAAGTTCAAAGATGCTAATAACAACAATAGAATCATTCATGATTTAGATCTACGACGATGGGCCTTAGGAGCAAAAAAACAAATTAATCTTCCTCATTTTAAAGCAGGAGCAACATGGATAGTAAATTTTAAAAAAAAGCATGGGATAGTATCCAGAAAGATAACCAAATTTATAAACCGTTCGTCAAAGACAAATCAAGAACAATTACAAACTGCATGCCAAGAATTCATAAGTTCTGTGAAATCATTTATAGATCTTTTTGAAATACAAAAAATATATAATGCAGACAAAAGTGGGTTCAATTTGGAAATACATTCAGGCAGAACGTTAACAACACAAGGTGTTAAAACAGTCGAAGCCATAGTTCAATCACAATCAGCAATTACACATAGCTATACCATTATGCCTACAATTTCTGCAAGCAGACAATTACAATCACATATTTATTTGGTTTTGAAAAAAACCAGTGAAAGTTTTGAGCCACGCGTAAAAAAGACTTTATTTAGGTCTGCAAATGTTTTTATCGCGGCATCAAAATCAGGAAAATTAACTACACAACACTTTCAATCTTGGTTTACAAATGTATTTTTACCCGAAACTGGGAGCTTCAGTTTGTTATTATTAGATTCTTGGAGCGGACATTGTCCTCAAAGCCTACAAGAGTTTATGCCATCTACATATAAAGATGTACGAATTGTGAGTCACGGATATAAAAGAGCTTCGCAGGGCTCTTCGAGACAGTACAAACAAAATTTTCCACAGCGCGGTCCCGGTCAATACGCGAGCAAACAAAGTGCCGGCGAAATAAGTGATCAAAAGAACAATTGTGTTTGCAACAAGTGTGGATCCTGCTTTCCAATTGGAGCTCACTCGAGACCGCCGCCGCCGCTCTGTTGCTACTTGCTGCCGCCTAGTACAAGATTAACAATAAGTAGTAAGTGCTAGTATTAAGTCGCGAATACGTCACCTGTGTCTCACGCCGCGATCAAAGATTGAAAGTAATTACCAGAACAGTTGCTCCCTTCGTTAAAATAGAGCTAACGCTGATACGGATTGCAGACGATTCGCAAGAACCGTCAAGCGATTCTCAGCGGGCGCTCTCGCGCTGTCGGAATAAAGACCATCCAAATAAATAAACTGAGGTAGCAACTGACCTACAAACCCCGAGCCGCGAAAAACTTATAATCACGAATTTTAAGTGGACCTGACCGCTTGCCAAAAACGGTGGAAATCCAGAGCCACCCTCCAGGAATATCGCCGAAAGGCCGCCAAACAAGCCCGGAAACAGGCTGAGGCACTGCCGGTTACCACCTTTCCTTCGACAATAGAAAACAAACAGAGCACAATAGCAGTTCTCAGAAAAACACCTACACACCACCAGATTTGCGAGCTCAGTCGCCTCCTCCGCGCTCTTCTCCACTCCGCCCTTCGCCACCATCCTCGCCCGAACCAGAATATTTAAGCGAGCGCCCCGCGGACCCTTCTCGTCCACGCACCTTCTCTTGTCCTCTCCATCTCCTAGCGCTCGCCTCTGCCTACAAAATTACCACTCCTACCTCCACCGCGTATGTAGTCGATCCTGAGAACCTTGATCCCCCCGAACTCCATCGGATAATTTCCACCTATTCTCCAAATGCCCTCCTTACTGTTAAATTCCCCCTCCTTCCAGAACACAGGTTAGTCCCTGTAAGAGATTTTTATAAATTCTTCCCCCCGGCTATCTGTAAAATCACGGAAATAATTGAGGTCAAACTGGACTGAGTTCGCAGTACACACATACTCACATCCACTTATCCATGACAAATTAAAAAAAAAAAATGTAAACAACTATCAGAACCAACTATGTTAATTTTGTAAATACATAACTACACATAAAATCAAAATGTCGAACAAATATACATATTTGATTATAAATATCGTCTAATCATTTCTAATTGATCTCTTGCCCACCATCCCGCACCTCTAAATAGATCGCACAGTCTCATCCCAGGCAATTGAGATTTGCATCTTAGGCCTTAAACAGAGACACACGAGCAAAGTCCAAACAGCGACGGAGTAAGAGCGGCACACGACCGTTGACCCGTCCGCCGGACCCGATACATCGCTCGACTCTCGGACCCACACGACTGTTTCTCCAAGTGTGCGTGTCACGAGAGATAAAGAAAATTCGACAAGTGTTACGCTCCGTTCATGCCCGACCGTTTCCAGGGTCCAGGACGTAACATAATGATTGTAATTGTTTCAAACTTAAGTGTAAAACTTTACACGTGAACAATATAAATATAAATATATATATATATATATATGTTTGTATGCATGCATATATTTATCTTTACATTATTATATTTATATTACTATATATATTTTTATTCCACATATCCAGCGTAAAGCTCCTATAACCGTTTAAATTTCGCGTGGTTTGAAACTTTTTTTTTTTTAGAGCCTAAAACTCTATTAATTGTAATTTTTCTTATGTTTTTCTTATTTTTTAGTAATTTTCTTCAGGACATCAAATCTTGAATTTATGGATTTGTAAGCGTTTGTAATTGTTCAATAATTGTTAATTTGGACTTTAATTCTTAAATTCATACAAAAATTTTTTGTATGTCAAATTAACGTTACGTGATTACTAATTAGTATATATTTAAAAATTTCAAAGTATATATTAATCAGTAATCGCGTATGGTCTTTTGGGTACAACAAATTTTTGTATGAATTTAAGAATTTAAGTCTAGATTAACAATTATTGAAAATTACAAACGCTCACAAGTCCATAGTAAACGCTTAACGTTAACGCTATGCAAACGCTTAAAAACGTTTTATATAAACGCCTTTCAAACGCTGTAGCGTTGCAATTTCCGCCCTATGAATTTTCTACTGACCGTTTCAAAACTTTCAACGAATTTCCCCAAAACCCTCATACAAACGTCAAATAAACGCTTATAAAACTTCTTATTTTCGTCAGGGAATGCGTCAAAGAAGAATCACCCTACTCATGTGGCTCGACCGAGTACGAGAAGGAGAAATTTGCGCAGTCAACACCGGCAGCAAAATCGACAGCGAATGGCACAGAGGAATCATAATTAAAGACCTTGGAGATGGAGTTGTCCTTGTTTCTCTTAGAGATTGGGGAGTAATGATGCAAATAAGAAAACATCATCTTTATACGTTGGAGGATAGATTCCGCTAACTCCCGTGGCAAGCCATCCCGTGCGGATTAGCCTACGCAGTTCCCGCCACGCTCGAGCCGTACTGGCCGAAAAGGACCAACACTATGCTGCGTCTCCTGTGTGAGGGAAAGAGAAGATGGATGCTTATCCGAGGTTCCGCGAGCACTCGCAACGAAGGAGCTTATGTCGACCTTACGATCAAAATAGAAAATGAAGGAGAGATAATGTACATACGTACATTACTGAAGAACCTTGGTTACACTCGGAACGCGGAAGAAATGAAGCCAGAAACTCAGCCGCGTTTCTCGAGTGGATCATCCTAAATTTCAATCTTAGAATAACCAATATTATATTCTACAACCATATTCTACAAAACACATATACACATACATACAAATACATACGTACACACATAATCACTCAAACAGTCATACACACATATGTGTATATATGTACATCACACTCTACGTATATATATTTAAGGTACATATCTATACTCGTCTAATCTTACTATTATCATTCAAGTATATACTAAATAACATTACGAAATAATTACGTATATATTATATGTATATATTGTGACGTGACATTTTTCGTGTCTGTCACAAGGAAATAATTCCGGCCGGCACGGGAGGCGATGGGCGTCTTCCGCTATTTAAGGGAGAGCAGCTCGTTAGGTTGCGCGCGAAAAGCGAAAACGCGCGTATCAGCGGAGGCGCTCAGCGCCTACGGCGTTCGCTATCTCTAATTGAAATGTTGCGATGATTATTAATCTTGATTCATGTATTTTCAGGCTAATTCCTTGTAGCTTAGAGAGAGAGAGAGAGAGCGACTCACGTAGCGTCGAGCGTAGAGGAGCAAGAAGGAGAAGCGATACGGAGAGACAGCGACACAGGGGCGTAAGGGTCTCATAGGCGCGAAGCGCGATGCGATGATGTCGACGACGGACCGGATACCGGTACCCCGACTTCACAAAAACCGGAGCGGGGCTCCCAGTGGAGTTGTCAGCCCCGTCCTGCGGAAGTATGGGTCCATACGAGCATTTGCAGCAGAAATTAAATGAAGAGGGTTGACACGGCTAGAAAAGAGCCCGCGTTAACACATTGCCGATACGCACGTGGCCGCCGTCAATCATAGCGCCGCGAAACGCAAGATACGATTGGCTAATTAACCGGCTGAGGAACGACATGCGGCATCGAGAGCAACTTCAGAATCGGCCGAGATCATTGTTGTGCGTGCCGTGAAAGACGTGTTGTACCGCTTCGACGGTACTGGATTCTTTCACAGGATTTCCAGTTGAACTCGAGGAAAAGTGATTCCGCCTTTTTTTAATAATTGAAACTATCTTTATTTCGATAAGTTTACAGCTCAGCTTCTTATAAAATTAGTACGACGACTTTGGCGGTAACTCTCGAACTTCTGCTCTCAACTCGGTCACATCACTTCTTATATCACCGAATTGAGAGCATCACCTTGTCTTACCCTAAACAACGTTGCACGAGTTGATCGCGCAACCCGCCCATCCTTGCTTGATCAGCTCTCGGAGACAGATCTGCCGTCCTTGCTGATCAAGCAACACTCTCTTTTACAACACACTCAACTATGTCTCAATCAACCATACGTGACTATCTTACGCTTTAATTTCCTAATTTCCACGTATGTGACCTTATACTAATTGCACCTTTCTTTTACAAACTTCTAAACATGACTATTACCACACTACACTTGATTTTCCAACAGACGCAAGTTTTTCTTGTAAAGCCACATACAGTGCTGTGAGTGAGTGCCGAGAAACAAAGCCTGAGGAGGATTTTGAGGAAAGTCTAACACTGAGCGAGCTTGAGGGCGAGAAAGCTGCCGAAAGTAGAGTGGACCCAAGCAGCCACGAGAGGAGGTGCCGACAAGCGTGAGTGATCGTTCACTCTCTCTCTCGCATATTCTTTATTTCGTTAATTATAAGATTTTGCGGTCGTAGATCGAGTCCATACGCTTACCGTTGGCTCGATACTGCGCTGCATTCGGGTAAAAATTATTAAATTGTACTTTACGGCCAAAATCGCAATAATAGCTGCCGGAAATAATTACATCATTGCTGCTCTCTCATCGCACCGCGGTCGCAACAATCCGGGCGAAATTCCGCTCGTTATTCGTGTGTGGTTGTTTTTATTTTTTTCTTTTGTATCACGGTAGTAGCGTGTTTTCTCTCTATTCGTCTTGTACCGCGCCTATAGATTATTATCGTACTGAGCGCGTAAAGTCGAGACACGGAATAATATTCTTTCGTTACACCTACGATATTCCAGATCTATTAGATGCGAATCGTGCCGAAATTCTGGGCCGTCGGACCGCGGCCGTGCCGCGTTAGATCCGTGTTCCGTTCGCGCTATACGGAGCGCGCGACGCCCCGCGCCGCGCCGGACGTCTCGCGCGCGCTAGCACATTCCTTCGCATAGATAACTCCGGCGGTCATCTCCACCCGACCTTATACCGCGAGAAATAAGGGCCGCGTCCGCGAACAAACAATAGAATAAGCTCACACCTATTACATTAACTGCCGATCACGCGTATTTAGCCGTGTCCGACTGTCGCGCAGTTGTATTTGTTATATTTTCTATTGTATTTTTTATTGTTGTTTATGAGACACTGTATTGCCAATATTCGGTATCTCTGGAACACTGAGTTTTATTAAACTTTTATATTTTTTATCCAACGTAAACGAACAAGTTTCTCTGCCATCATTTATTATACATTGCCTCCTAAGCCTACGCCTCTCCGTTATCGTCATTAACTGAGCTGCCGAGTGACCTTGCCGTCACGTCAACATTATTTGTTCGGATTCTTACGGCGAATTAAGATTTTTGAGTTGGCGTGTAAACGCACGCCTAGCGCCCAACTATCGAATTTGGTGAGCAAAGAACTTTATTTTTTTTGAAAAGACGTGCCGAAGTTGTGCGGCGCCTCCGCTACAACACCCTAAAACAAGGTGTATATATATTGTGACGTGACATCTTTTCGGTGTCCGTCACAGGGTAATTAATACGGCCGCACAGAGGGCAGTAGGCCCGCGTCTCTCATTAGTTAGAGAGAGCGACCTATCTTGTATTTTACGATCATAGGTACGAGAAAATCTCGAAAAAGCGTATAGTAAACAGGCAGAATCGTATAATGCACGCCGACGAAACGTTACTTACAAACAAAACGATCTCGTCTGGAAAAGAAACAGAAGTTTCTCATCTGCAGCGCAAAATATCGCCGCGAAGCTAGCTCTCAAGTATCAGGGCCCACACAAGATAAGTAAGAGAATTTTATCCGTGGTTTATGAATTGGTAGGATTAGATGATACTCCGATGAGTAAATTTCACGTGAAAGATTTAAAACCTTATCACGAATTCTTCCTAGACAATCCCCCTGGGTAAAGGTACTCCTTTGGTGTTTCCAGTCATTGTACAGATGTCAGGTCCTGGTTCGTACGGTGCCGCTAAACACAGGTGCCGCCGAAAAGTATCGAGAATGGCGGAGGGAAACTCCTTCAAAAAGTTCTATCAAAAAGTGGGCACTTACGTCAGAGAAAGCGTGCAACGATATCGAGAAAAACAACAACAAAGGGAACAAGAATAGCAGGAACGAGAACAAAAAGCCCTTGAGTGGTGGGAAAGAGAACAGTGTGCAGAAAAGAAGCGACAGGAAAGAAGCAGGCAGGAAGAACGAGAACGGCGAAAGAAAAAACGACGAGAAGAGCAGGAACGTCGAGAGAAAGAAATACGAGAGAAAAAAGAACGCCGAGAGAGAGAGATGCGAGAAGAAAAAGAGCGGCGAGAAAAGGAACAACAGAAGAGAAACAGACAGGAAGAACGAGAACGGCGAGAGAAAAAGAGACGAGAAGAGCAAGAACGGCAAGAGAGAGAGAAAGGGAAGAAGAACGAGAACGACAGGAGCGACAGGAAAGAGAGCGGAGAGAGAAAGAAAAAATAGAGAAAGGCGTGAACACCTACAAAGGATACTCCGGGAAAAACAGGAAGAGGAGCGTTAAGAGAGAGCACGCCAAAAAAAACAAACTAAACCAGATCTCCTCCGCTGAATGACCATGGAACTAGAAGCGCGGGAGTGAAACACCCGCAATAAAAGACTGTGGCAAGTAGTAGACCGAGAAATAGAACGTGCCGAACGCGCTCACAAACAGCGACTACAAATGGACTTGCAACGAGGGCACAAAAACAGCGGAACGAGAAAGACGGGAAAGAGCGGAACGGGAAAAACAAGAACAAGAGCGTAGAGAACAATTACAGCGGGAAAAACAGGCCCAGGAACGACGAATACGAGCTGAGCAAGAAAGAAATGAGAAAGCAGCACAGGAACGACAGAGGAAAGAGCGAAAGAAACAAGAACGCAGAGAACAGGAACGGAAAGAAACGCAAAATCGTGAGAGGATGGCTCAAGAACAGCGAGCCAGAGAAGAACAAGCCCAGCGAGAACTGGAAGAGAGAAAGGAAAGAAAACACCGAGAAAAGGAGAGGCGAGAGGAACGAGAACGGCGAGAACGGCAAGCAAGAGAGCGACAAAAACGAGAAAACCGAATTCGAGAGCAGAGGGAAAGAGAGAAGCGTGCCGAGTTAGCACAACAAGAACGAGAAAGAAGAGAAAAAGAAAGGCGTGAGCAGGAACAGCGAGAGGAACAAGCTCGCCTGGACCGCATTCGCATGATGGCTCCTCGAGTAAAAGACCCCCGTCCAGAGTACCACCCGCAGCTAACCACCTCCTGTTGGAATTGTGGCGAAGTAGGCCACAAATATTCAAATTGTCCGAAAGGAAGGGAGAAAGAAGATTTTGTTACAGCTGCGGCAATCTAGACGTAACCATCCGCGGTTGCAGCAAATGTTCGGACGCATGCGAGAAGTACGATCGACCAGAGCGAAAACCCTGCTAAGGCTCGCCCCGCCAACTGCCGAATTCCTGCCGACCTGCCGTGACCTTACAAAGAAGCTGTCTACTACCTTGCCGAAACGCCACAGGACCACCCGATGAAGTGCCGTTCTCATACGAGCAACCGTGCCATAGCCAGACACCAAAGACGATATGTTAACCGTTAGAGTGCTACGCGGCGCAAAACTGATCCGATAGTTTGTGTCGAAAATTGCGGCGCGGCGCAAAACTGCTGCGCAAAACTGCTGCTCCGTGGGAGTAAACGTATTCTAACCTCGCGCATAATTTGTTACTAGAGTTAATAATCAAAATAGGCATAGCACTT